GTTTGTATATGTTGTAAGGGGCCTGTTCCCTTGTTCTGTTTTTGACTCTTCGTTCTAAAAAAGGTCTCCCTGATGGTCCTTCTTCCCCAGACGTGGTAGCTGAGGGCCAGGGCTTTTTCTGCCCTGGCCCCTACCTGGTGGGACGCTCTGCCAAATAACATCCGTGCCCTGCGGGACTTGTTGCTGTTCCTCAGGGCATATAAGGCAGAGATGTTACGCCAAGCATTCAGCTGAGGACAGTGACGGTCCTCCATCTAGTCTGGCACTGCTCTTCCTTTTCCTTTCCCTACCTCCCTCTTCTACAAGGCAATGACACTCCAGGAATTATTGCCATTAGACTGGTTTAGGCTGCTGTAAATTGTATTTTTATGTATTATCTTAATCTTGAGACTTCTCGTAAGAATTGTAATCTTATAACTGTTGTATGCCACTCTGAGACAGGGACCACAGTGGCTCAGAGGTTAAGACGCTGAGCTGCAGACCAGAAGGTCTGTAGTTCGGCAGTTTGAGACCCTAGTCTCGCGTGACGGAGTGAGCTCCTGCCAACGTAGCAGTTTGAAAGCAAGAAATTGCAGGCAAATAAATAGGTACCACTTCGGTGGGAGAAGTCTTTGGACAGAGCTGGCTCTTCAGCTTGGTAATGGAGATGAGCACCACCCTCTAGATTCGACTAGCTCTTGAGCAATAGAAACCTTTACCTTTATGCCACTCTGAGCCCTGTCTTTCAGGGGAGGGTGGCCTAAAAGTTCAATTTAATAAACCAACAAACAATCTGAAATTCCCTGCATTATTTATTTACTTAGAAGCAAAGTTCACTGTACCAATAATGGTTACGAAAGATGCCCAGCCTACATTTTGGTATTTTTCTCTTGGAAATGAGTTCTCCAGTTTGGGGCAAGCCTGAAACAACTTCTGCATGCACCCTTGCTACAAACTGCAGCCTTAATCAGTCACTCAATAAGTGTTTTCTGCCATTTGCTAGCAGCAACAGAGCAATATGTTAGTTCAGCTCACTGAATCCTCTTGCTCAAGATGACATGAAAAATCATTATAAGAATGACAAAGGACACACAGATAAATTAATTTGTGTTTGTATTTTATTTAGTCCAAGAAAATCTACTTTAAAAACAACATAGAAAATCAAAGTATCAAGTAATTCAATACATGGATTAGAAGAAACTGCAAAAGCTTGAAGTTGTGGCACAAGCTACAATTTGCAGCCTCATCTGAGTATTTTTGAGGCCAAAGCAATACACTGTAACAAAGCAGTATCTGTGAATGGAGACATTGCTCCTTGCACCAGGAGAGAATTCTTCTGGTGCTTCTTTGAGACAGGTCGGTTACAAGAAGAGTTATTGGTTATATGATTTGTGTTCTTTGCATTGCTTAGAAAGGCCCTAGATCAGTATATATAAAAAAGCAAGAACTAAGCGCTTGCTCCCCCAACTTCTAGCCACTGATAATTTACATTGTGATTACTAGGTTTTATTTAAATGCTGTTTAGATAACTTTACATACTATTAACAGCCATGGAGCTATAAAGATTAGAACCAGTATGATATAGGCCATGCCATTGTTATTTTAAAAATATTTTAAACTGGTTGCAGCTACTGCAATATGGCTTCCCGTACAGACATTGCAAATTTGTATAAACAACTGGTTGCCCATTTGTTTGGTGCTGCAAAGCAGGCCTGTCAAATCAGTAGCCCATCGGCCAGGTAATACAGCCTGCCAGATGCTTTGACAAAATCCCTCTTCTTCTAGCCCTGGGTAGATCTGAGGGTACCAAATATCTGCTAAACAGCAGTCTACAACTGGTCAGGGCCACAGAGAGTCCAGGAGAAATGAATTGGACAGTCCTGTTGCAAAGCACATAATGAAAGGGAACAATCTAACATTTGGCAATCAAGAACTACAGTCAGAACAAATGTTGTAAATCGGGGGAGGGGGAGGATGGGAAGGGGAGAAAGCTGCCACTAAAGAAAAGTCACCAATTTTGAGACATACCATGTTACACATTTTACATGTTTACACATTGTAGACAAACACAGGGGATATATCTAAGCGATTCATAAACAAGGTCCTACTTGGAATTTCTTAACTAAAGGAGACTATGCACTGTTAACATCAGTATTTTGTTTAAAGCTTCCCGCTTGCTCTAAGTCAGCTGAGTTTTCTCACAAATGCCTTTTAGGCATTTATAACAAACCATTATAACAAAACTTACAGTACAATGAATGCAGGGTTACACAGTCTCTCTGCATATGATTGCATTGTAAACCTATAAATCTTGAAAGGAACCACACACTAATCTGCATATATTATACTACCTACTTTTCAGGAAGAATAATTTCTGTGGACCTATTTGCTTGGACAGACAAAAGAGAGTTCAAGTACTAACACACAAGTGGACTGTGGAGTGAAAGTGTTTCGGATTTCATTTCCCCCTACTATGCCTTATCAAGCTAGCACACATCACCCCAACACCTAGTCCCAGCAGAATATGTAAGCTTTCGGATTTAGGACTGAAGGAATATTAAATTCCCCATTAGTTGGAGTTGGAAGTGGGAAGGAAAGTTCTTGGAGACATGTTAACAGATATACAAATGCAGTTGCAAGAACAGTTTGGCTTGCCTTTAAATCTGCCAAAGGGGTCAATAAGGGAGGAAGCTGTAATTGGTGGTTGTTGCTGAATGGCAACTGATGAGAAGGAGGCCCCAACATCTTTACCAGCAGACACTGAAAAAAGTGATGGAGGCAGGGGCAGTACTATGCAAGCATGAGCTACACAAAGCACTGTTGGTTATTCAGCAGCCATGAAATGGCATGGTGCTGATCCACCTTCCTCATGCCTAGCTTCTTCTCAATGGCCACAAGTAAGAAAGTGGGTTCTGTTCATCAGCAGCCATCAAATATTGCCTCCCAATCAATCTCACTGGTCCCCGTCAGCAGATTTCATGGCAAAACATTTTCAGTCTGGCAGCCCCTATAAATGAAGGAAGAAAACGTGTTTGTAATTACACTGAAATGATTCAATGACCATTTATACTGTGATTTCAGTGGGCCTACATAGTCACTGGAATGGAGGGGGGAGCTGTAAATACATATTAAGAAAAATGGCCATTCACCTTTCTTATCCTCAAATGTCTAAAAACACTCCACAGCCTATAACTTGACATGGACTGCAGTATTGAATTTCCTGGTATTCAAGTCATCCCAATGTCATGCTTGCTAAGAAGGACTGTTTTTAAAAAGCATCTTTCCATTTTAATCTTTCACTGATCAACACCTTTATCAAATCAGTGAACCTGTGACAATTAACTAATAAGATTGTATATTATTGTTCATCATAGTGCACAATTTATTAGCAAAGATATTATGTTAGATGCATTTTAAGAAACTCCAAACTGCCATATTTTATCAGAAAGAAAGTAATGTGTTGGGCAGAGTTCTAAGGCTTCTAAACTACGAAGTGTACAGGGTTACCACCAGATGGAGCTAGTGCACCAGTGACATTTTACTTTCTTCACTCACTATGCAGATCCTAAAAGAAGGCATTTGGCTCACTTTGTTCCTTTTCAAATAAATTACTATACATGTAGGACAGTGAAGCCACTGGGCCATGCAACAAGCTCAGACAGATAGGTGCGAAGGCTACAAAGTGCAACAGAACTTGACCTGCTAGACCTGCTTGATGTCTAGAAGATCAAATACTAAATGCTTTGAACATTTTCACTATTGTTCAACTGTTTAGCATTTCAAGCCTGCCCAGTTTTTATGCACAACCTATAGTGACTTGCAATCTTATATCTAAGAAAATTGGGAATGTCTTTGCTCAAGGTTTCTAGACTGAGGGTTTTAAAAATAATTAATTAAAGTGTAAGTATAAGCCAAGCCTTTGTTTAAATCACTCTTCAGAAATCACAGGTTACCAAATGAATATAAGTACAATGGAACTCACTTTTCTAACAAAGGGACACACATATGGAACAGACTTAATGCTTTGCTTCTCAAAAACTTTTTGAAAAGAATGGTCTCATTCTCTGATATGGTATGTTCTGAGAACAGGAAAGCAGTATTTTTTTAAATGAACTATTTTTCTGTTTCTTGACAAGATAAAACCAATTAATTGTTTTGCTTTATGTTTGGTATGACAGTTCCTTAACCGAGTCATACCTCAAAGCTGGTAAACTGTTAAAAGTGGCTGTTCATTTGTTTGTCCTTTGAAGTCGTCCTGCTTTCTCTGAGGTCTTCCATAAAAATAAATTGTATTCAAATACATTTGAGCGCTACAGTCCAGTACAGACTTAGGCAGATGTAAAAACATTTAAATCAGTCTTCTTGGGTGCCTAATTCTCCTCTAGACTGCTGCTGAAATGTTTTCAACACACATGACACAAACATCATCAGGAATGGAGCAGGTGGTGTAAAAAATCAGCTCCTGTCTAATTGGTATCTCAAGTGTTCCAAAGACAAACTGCACCTTTCACCCATGGATGTTCTTCTATGGAAGCAAGATCATGCAGCATTAAACATTGGTTCTTCCATACAGTAAGAAGTTAAGGTAGTAGGCATTATAAGGTATTTTCCTACTAGGAAAGACAAATAAGAAGGTCATTTTGTATTTTTTTTTTCACATATAAAGAGGAAATGTACATTAAAATTATTTTTTGCTTAAAGATATACACATAAATACACAAAAGAATTACACTCCAGTTTTGGAAGCACTGATGACAGGGGGGAGCCTAAAGGATGCCAACTTCTTTCCCAGGCTGTAATTTCAACAAAAGGTTACACTGACTTCCTACCTTCCCCCCACACAACTTACTAGCAAAAAAAATCAGTTTAAACAGTGTATTGTGAAAAGGAAGTGTTAACGAAGTGAAAGAAAGGGACTTGAGCTCCTGATGGTGCCTCAGGATTGTCAGATGCCTTCTCAGAATGACATTGGAAAGCAAAGGTCTAGTAACAGCATTCCAAATCGTTGGTCTTCAGCCCAGTAATGCAAAACCCATTCTCTTCCACTGCCTTCTGCATACACTGGTCTCTCCAACTATAAGATGCAGCTTCCAGGCAACTGTGGAAACAGAAGCGAACAGATCAGCAACACCTTGCGGCCCAAGCCTCTTAACCAGTGTGTGGTGGCAGTGTCGGCATACTATAGTGGCATGTTGTGCAGGCAACACGAGTCATCACGTCAATGTGCTGCCACCACCAGCTGTTTCACAGCAACATTGTGCAAAACTGTTCAGTGGCACAGAAACTGGCACAGAAACTAGAAATGGGGAAAGCCGCTTTCAGCTACTCTGCAAGCCTCCTATCACACGTGGCTTATCAGAAAAGCATACCAGCAAATAAAGGTTGATTCAAATAGATTAGTTGGACCTAGGGTTGCCAGCCCCCAACTGCCACAACCTGGCATGATGTCCCCAGTGTGATGATGTCACATGCAAGAGCCACCCTAGTCGGACCCCTCCCCACCCCATGCCCTTATTCCTCACTGCTACCTCTGCTACTGCCTTCAGCCAGGGAGCATTAACAAAGCCCCCTCACAGCTGTGTCACTCGGGCAGAAGTGGTTCTGGGGTGCTTTATGGGCTTTCCCAGCTGCAGGGAGAGGAGGCAGTGGTGGGCAAGCAAACAAAAAGGGACGGAAAAGACTGACAGACTTGAACCAGGACTCAGATGTCTGATGTGGTCGTCTGATAGGTAATTTGTGAAAATGTGTTTGCAGCATAATTGAAAGACATGCTGTAAGTCTTCTCACAGTACAACTCAAAAGATATCTACATGAACAGTGGGTAATACATGAACAATGTGTAAGTTTATTAACTGGGGGTGAGTGGAGATAGGAGGGTAAGCGCCAGGTTGAAGAAGTAAGAGAAACAAAATCCTCACTGTGCATAATGCCTGAGGCAACAGATAACCAGGCTTGCTGTATCAGAGCCTAAATATATTTGTATTATCAATCTAGGATCGGGACCATTTTTTCTGAACAATTTTCTGTCAATGGTGATACTTCCGGCAAGTATGGAAGGGATTCATTATGACAACGTTGTGTGCTGCAGGACACTGAACAGGAAGCATTGGGCTGCACTGATATTACAACAAACATCCTCTGACGGGTGGAAAGACAGCAAATGCACCACACCAAGCCAAATATTTGTGCGTGCATGCAGTGACAGTTTCTTCCATCAACAAGCTTTCAAATGGAACAAGGTTAACATCGCTGTCCAACTACATACAAAGACGGCTAGAGAACTTTTTTAAAAATTGTTAAATAGATGGTTGCCGGCAGGAATCTGAAAGCCTGTTTTGGGGGTTCCAAGATCAGTTATTTGCTTTTGGAGACATCTGCAAAAGTTCTGAAGGCCAGCAGTGTTTGCACTGCACACATTCAGTGAATAAAATGCCATTTCAAATAGCTATACTGGATTTAAACTAGCCAAGCAATTATTGTAATGAAAATGATACTTACTTTAAATCTCAGCATTCGGTGAGCTCTGGTTTTAACTGTAGAGTCTCACAGGATGTGTAGTCTTGATTATTTACATCTTCCTCTGTGTGTGTCTCCCCAAGTCCCATTGACTGGTCTTCTTTCCTTTTTGCTTGTGTTTGCTGCTCTATAAAGTGTTCCTGCATTTGAACAGTCTGCCCAGCTTCTACAGTCTTTAGCTTTGGTTGGTCTATGTCACGTGACTCTTTGGGTAGATCTCCTGCGGCAGCACCATCCAATGTCACCTTCTCAGTCTCTTTTGGAATAGCACAATCCATTTCAGATTCAAACTTTGTTTCGCCATTTTCTTTCTGCAAGCCTGGCTCTTCTGTAATGTCTTTTCCAACTTCCACTAGTTTTGTCACAGTACCCAAATGTTCATCCGACTGTGACACGTGTTTCACGACTTCTAGATCAGCCTCTGCCCTTCTAGGGACTTCTTCTTTTATGAGGATCTCTTGTCTCTCTATGTTCTCAGAAAGCAGCTGCTGATCAGTGTGTAGGCTTTCCTGAATTTCAGATTTATTTTCACACACCTGACTTGACACATACACTGTCTCTTCTGTTTTTTCCACCAGTTTATCAACAGCATTCTGAATGATTTTAAGGACAATTTTGGAACTCTGAGACTCTATAGTCACAGGCTCAACACCATCTTTTTGAAATTCTATATGGGTCAAAGAGGGGTGTCTTTCTGGAGACTGAATCTGTCTTTCAGTTTCTTGACTGAGCTCTGATTTCATTTTGGGGATGGAATCAAATACATGTGGCTGGATCAAATAATCAGCTGGCAAAATTGGCTTCTCACTGGCTGATTCTGTCTTCTCAGTCCACATTACCTCAGTATCAGGACCTGGAGCCCCCAGACCTGAGTGAGCAAAGGTCACCTGCTGTACAATTTTGAATGCTTTTTCTTTTGGCTCTTCTAAGAAAGACTGCAATGTTTCCGTTGATGTTTCTGTAACAATGACACTTTCTTCAATGACTTGCTCTTCAATTGCTGCAGCTGTTACTGGCAAAGAGGATTTATAAGCTTCATAGCTTTGCATTTCAGGAATGTCAGTGGTGGCAACCTCCTGTTGCTTGGGATGTTGCTGCATCGGAGCTGCATAAAGTACATCCCCACTAGGAGGAAGTTCAGCGTTTTCAGCTGATTTGTCATTTTCCACTGTCACTGCCTTCTCTGATAGCACTTGTCCTTTCTGACAGCTTTCTGAAATTCTCTCTGTGAATCTGGAGTCTGAGAAAAGGGTGTCTCCTTCGACTTTTGTCCTTGCAGCAGCCCCAGTTACTGCTGCTTCTGTGTGTTTGGATTTAATTGCTAGTTCTGTGTTTCCAAGCTCATTTTCCACAAAATCCACTGTTGCCTCATTTTCCACAGCATTCTCAGTTAATTCAGCCTCTGCAAAATTTGGTTTCAAAGAAAGTGCATCTTCCTTTTCACTTTGCACGAGGACTTCAGATGCTGCACTCTCCATAAAGGGTATATTTTTTTCCTTCTGCACAGGGATCTCAGTTACAATTTCTTCTGTGCACTTTGATTCTAAGACAAGGGTGACATCCCCTAGCTCATTTGTTTTGGGAGCTAGACCAGCATCTTTAACCTCAAAAGGACCCTCAGTTCCAAGAGAATCCAAATATTCTACTTGAGAGGAACTGGCAACATCTTGCATCTCTCTCTGCACTGGAACTTTACGTATGTCACCTAAATCTGCACAAACTGGAACTTCTACTGAAATCATGGAATTCATAGTATCTTCTATCTCAGATTGAAAGTTAACTTCAGCCTCCAAGCTCTGCAAATTCTCTTTCTGCTCTGCTGGCTTGGCAGCAGCTTCTTCTTGCACTAGTTCTGATTGCTCTGCAGGGGCTTCCACAAGGGTCCTTGTATGCACCACTGCATCCACCATTTCTGAAGGAATGCCTACTTTTGCTTCTTCTGTGAGGACTTCAATTGTTTCTGGGGGGGATTCCCGTTTTCTATCTTCTGTAAGGTTTTTCATATCCACCTTTTCTGCAGGAACCTTCATTTCAACCTCCTTGACAACCTCTGCTTCCACCTCTTCTGCATGGAACTCTGTAACCTCTTTCTCTACAGAAGCCTCTTCAACTACTTTTGCTACAGAGGTATCCACATCCACCTTTACATCAGCCTTTTCTGCTGGAGCCCCTACTTCCACATCTAATTTCTCTGCAGAAGCCTCCACATGCACCTTTCCACCTGCCTTTTCGGCAAGAACTTCTGCGTCTGTCTCTGTCAGAACTGTTGCCTTTTCTGTAGGAATTTCTGGTTTTGCCATCTCTGGGGAAAATTTCATCACTATTACTTCAGTCTTCTCTGCCAGGACCTCAGCTTCTACATTCAGTAGGGAAGGCTCCTTATCCACTTCTTTATGGTGTTCTGTTACTACCTTTTGTATAAGGGCCTCAATCTCTGAATTCTGCTGGTGGACCTCCACTTCCATCTTTCTAATGGATATCCCTGTTTCCACAGTGTCTACAGGGATCTGGGTCTCAGTATCCAACAGGTGAGGTTTAGGTTTCACATTTTCTACAGGGATCTCAATTTCTGCTTTCTGAAGATGAATGTCAGGTTCCATTTTCTGCACAGGAGTTTCAGGTTGCATATTGTATAAAAAGGCCTCAGTGTCCTTGTTCTCTAAGTAGGCCTCAGTTGCAACTTTCTCAGTGCTTTTAGTTTCTAAGCCAATTGTAACATCTTTTGCAATATCCAGAGCATTCATTTCATTTACTACAATTCTCACTGGAACATCAATAGCCTGGCTCTGGATTGGTACTTCAGGCACTGGTTCTTTCTTATTTCTGGACTTTATAAACCACTTTGTATCTTTTACGTAATTCTGTATAAGAGCCTTCTTTACCTGAGCTGGACGTGTTTCTGCATTTTCTGACTCCAGGCTAGGTAAGACAATTTGCATAAGATTCTGGGAGAACTCAGTCTCCTCTTCATCGAGTCTTTTCATTGATTCATCCACTTCTGTAACACCATCTTCAGTGACCTCACCTTGAGCTGTTTCTTCTAAATTCACTGTGATTTCCTCTACTGCATCAATAGTTCCATATTTTTCCTTTTCAACTGCTTCTAAAGATATATGTTGTTGCTTTTGGATAGTCTCACCAACTTTTACTTCTGGTTCTTCACCAGCAGTTACTGTAACAAAGACAAAATCTTCCTCTTCAGATTTCTCTTCAGTGGTCTGTTCTTTGGTGATTTCTTCATGTCTTTCTTGTTCAGTTTCACTTTCATCAGCACTATCTAAATTTATACTTTCTTTAGCTCTTTCTTTTCCCTCAGCACATGAGTCTTTAGTCTTCTCCAACACTTCCTTCAAACCACTTCCTTTAACTTCACCTTGACTGTGATCACCTTCTGTGCCTTCATTAGTTTGGATACTAATCTTCTTAGGATCTTCTATCTTTAAGGGCAAGTCAGCCAGTTTAACTTCTGGAAACAAGATGGTAATTTCTTGCCTGCTTTTTTCCACTGAGATAGACTGAATGTCTATTTCTGATACCTTTTGACTAATCAGTTGTGCATCATCAGATAATTTAACTTTTTCAGCAACTTCTTGTAGAACTTCCTGGGTTTGCTTATTTAATTCTTCTAGATTTTGCTGACCTCCTACTTCCTGTACAGGTGTAGCTACTTCAGTTGTATCAGGGGACTCACTTAGTCTTGAAACTGCTGAAACCATTTCAGTTGTCTCTTCAGCACAGGATGCTTCAGTTACTTCCTCAACACCTGAAGCTTCTTCTTGAGCTGTAATCGCTTCTGGAGTTAACTCCAGCTCACTGATTATCGTGTCACCACTAATGTCCTTTCTAATTTCTGGCATGTGTTTAGTAACTACTGCTATTTCTTCTCCAATTCCAGTTTCAGAAATTTGTTCAGTTTGTTTCTCATTGTCTTTGTCTGCATGTTCAATGGATTCTGTCACAGCAGCCGATATCCAAGATGGTGATCTTTCTTCAATACTTGTAACTGCTCTTTCCCCTTCAACCACTGTGACAGTGACTGCATGAACTAATCCTTCACTGGACTGTTCATCTACTAAAGCATCTTTTGACTCTTCAGTTCTTTCATCTAAAATTTTCTTCTTAGTTACATCATCTTCTTTTGCCTTCTGTGCTTCAAATTTCTCTTGTTCAGCAGCTTCATACTCTGACAAAGGAACAACAGCTGGAACATCATAATCTTCTTCATTGTTCTCTGTAATTTCTTCTCCTACTTCCTCAACAGGAGCATGCTCTGGTATTCCATCTGACTTTTTCTTCCTGCGACCTGGCATCAGTTTTTTAAATGAAACCCAGGATTCTTCTTTTCCAGAATCACCGTCTGAAGCAGAGTGTTCTGAACTTGGAACTGTGACTGGCTCTTCAGTTCTGTCTTCCAACTTTGTTTTGGATTTTCTTCGTGGGGTTACTAGTCTTTTAAAAGACTCCCATGTTGAAACTCCTTCACTTTCAGATGGACTTCCAGCTTGTTCTGGTGAGGAATTTCCTTGTCCTTGATCACTTTCCTGGGAACTAGTAAAGGTCATGTCTTGGGCTGTTTCTTTATGCATTCCACTTTCATATGTTTTTTGTCCTTCTTGAGCAAGTCTTTGTCCTACGTCTTCATCAGAACCTGATAATTTTCTAGCTCTTTTCTTAGATGAACCTACACAAATTAAGGCTTCCCATGATACAGAAGTATCAACCTTTCTCTTGGGCTCATCTGTGCTTTTTTCTAATTTCTGCTCTTCACCATTTTCTTTATTATCTTCCTGTTCTTCACAAGGAGCACTTTCAGTTGAAGCGAGAGCAGCACTCTTGGCTTTCTCAAGTTCTTCTTCTTTGTCACTTTCAGAAAGTCTCCTGACCCGTTTCTTGGGAGTCACCATTTTTTTAAAGGATGCCCAAGGAGTAACACTTTCTCTTTTCTTCTCCATATCTGAAGCAGCGCCTTCTTCACTTTCAGTGACCTGTGCTACATCTATAACTTTTTCTACATAAGACAGCTCTACTGTCTCTTCGGGAGAAGAGGCAGAACTTTCTCCTTTTTGTTCTTCAGGACTTTCTGCAGAATCAGACAATTGTGTTTGTTCCACTGATTCCCCTGACTTAGTGTCATCTCTTTTTACTTTATGTTTCTTTCCTGATAACTTCTTTAAGCTACTACTTGTAAAAAGCTTCTTTAAGGGGCTGCCTTGTATCTTAGCTCTTTCTTGTGATGAAAGCAATTCAACTTCATTTGTGATGCCTTCTGGAGGTTTAGATGTTGCGACATCTCCACTGCTAGGTTCAGTTTGCTTGATCTGTTCATTCATTGCTACAGGTAGAATTTCTTTGGCTTTTAATTGTTCATCAGCAGGCTGTCCTGTCTGAAGCTGAGCATCTGTCTCAACTAATTGTTCATGAGTTAATTCTTCTTTTTCATTTGTTTTTACCTCTTCCTTCTTCACAATGGTGCTAACATCATTGTTAAACTCTGTGGGTATTTCATCAAAACTTTCAGTTGCCAGAGGAGCTTTTGGTTCAGGTTTGTCTTCAAGAATTTCAAAATGTTCTTCAGTCTTTTCCATTGCCAATGGAGAAATTGGTTCACATTTGTCTAATTTTTCTTCGGGTAGTTCTTTTGCCAGGGGTGCTGCATGTTTCTTCGCAGGCAATGCAAGAGTGCTCTGCTCTAGGGAAGGTAGACATTCTTGTATCGTTTCTGATTTTTCCTTGGAGGCCAGACCAATCTTCTCAGTCAAACATATCTCTGACTCTTTATTTACACTTTTTACATACTCTTCTGATGGCAGAGTAAGGGGTTCTTCCTGGTGTGTTTCTGTTGAGACATCTCTCATTTTTACTTCTTCACTTTCCTCTCTCACTTTCGTCATTGTCTCATCTGTGGGTTCTACAGAAATTTCTGGCCCATTTTTATCTGGTACTACTTTTTCTATTTCCAGTTCTTCTTTGATAGCATTTTCTTCTGCCATTTCTTTGTCTTGGTCCTGTTTTTCTCTCTCAACAATCTGGTCATCTTCTTTGGGCTTCCTGAAGCTTGTCTTTTTCCTAAAGCCAGCCCAAGTAAAGAACTTTCTTAGGGGTGATGCTGTTTCATTAGCTAGTGGGCTTGTTGGAGACTCTACCAACTTGCTACCGTCACTTTTAACTTCTGCCTCCTTGCTTGCTTCAGTTGGTTCCACAGGGCTTTCTTTTATCTTTTCAGAATAAGCTTCTTCCTTCACCTGCTCAGTTTGAGTCTGTTGTTCAGTCTTTTCTACAGGATGAGACACTTCACTTTGTATTGCTTCCTGTACCATCTCCATTTTGACTTCCTTACAGTCTCCAGCTCCATCTGCTGCTACTTCTGTATCATCTGCTTTCACATTCAGTAGCTGAACAGGTTCTGATTTCTCGGTCTTATCCTTTCTGACAGTAAATTTGAATCCAACAAACTTAAACACTTTTTTAAATCCAACATCATTAGATGGAGATTCACCGGGTAGTTCCTGCTCTTCTGCTTTTTCTTCCGGTGTTGGCAATTGCTTATCAGCATCTGGTGATTCCTTAGGGTCGTCGTCTACCTTTGTTTTATCTGATTCTGGTGACTTGGTCTCCATGTTTTCAGCAGACTCCTCTTTTAGAATCACATTTGGGGTATCACTTTGTCCTACTATAAGAGATGTTGAAAATGACAAAGAATTAGGCATTTCAACTTCATGAATCCATCCTATACTGCATGTAAGGATTATAATAAGCATTTATTTATTTATTGAATTTATATCCCGCCCTCCCCACCAAGGCAGGCTCAGGGTGGCTTACATAGAAAATATAAAACAGTTAAAACAAGAATTAAATAAAATCAGAACAATACAATTATAAATATAATAAAATATAAAGTGCTTGTTTGTATCAGATGGCGGGCATTAGCAGCATCCTCAGGCAACAGCCAGCTGACATCAGAGTCTGGGTTAAATTGGCTGTTAACAATGATGTTAATATTAGGGCCAGCTATAGACATCTGCACACTCACTTGGGAATAAGTTCCACTGATTTCACAGGGACTTGCTTATGAATATGCATCCATAGGCTTATGATGCACCAGTATTAAGACCAATAGTCACAATGCAACATATAGTTAAGCTATTGAAATGGACAGGTTTTAGAGTACTTAAACTTTGTTTAGATTGTGATGCATGTATGATGGACCCTGTCCACTTCCCTCCCTCAGAGGTAAGGTTTTCCCTCCCTCAGAGGTGCAGCCCTGGTAATGTGTTTATTCTTCCCTTGAAGAAACCTTGTCTGTCTCACCCTGTCAGTAGGTTATATTTTGGCAATTTGCTCAGCCTAGGAACCTGAGGGAAGGGGTAGGATTGCACTTAAACACTTTAAAATAACACTTGAGTAACTTTTAAAATGCAAAAATAACAAAAGGTTTCATTTGAACATCAAAGGGAAAGGTCAGGTGAAATCAGGGATTTAAATTACTGAGGTAAAACTTTGCAAGTACAGACTTTTGTTCTTCTGTATCAGGCTAATGAGAGGTTCTTATATTATTCACTGTTACTTAGATCTTTATGTTGAGAGGCTTTTGTTCAAGTGTTTTCCCAAACACTCTAATACACTTTGGCTGTGGTCACATTGGAGGCTTGGCGCGATCTGGCTGCACCTCTATTTGCAGCAGTTTAAATAGTTCTGGGAAGTTTTGATCGAACATCCCATCCTGCACTGGCTTCACTGTGCACTTGCCCCATGGTCCATCATTCAGATTGTTGCAGCATTCTTTTTTTCTTTTCTTTTCTTTTTGTCTGTCACCCATGCACATAAGCATGTATCCAAAGCTCTGGCTCCTTTTTGACAGCTCCGCAGTCTCTCTGCCAAATACTCTGGCCCCTCTCAACCTCCTTCCCTTTGACTCTCTTCCGTGGAATACATGGGGGAGGGAAGTGCAGATTTACATGAGAGTAGTCCCATTGATTTCAGTGGATTTACATGGGATGCTCTCAGATTCTGATGCAGAAACAGGAGAGAGGGGTTGGGGGGGGATGAGCTGCTCAAAAACAACTCCCCCAGGGACTCCCAATCTAGAATGACTACTTGGCCTACTTGACAACACTGGGGTGATTATGCGCCTATGCAAACATTGCTACATGATCCCCCCCCCCAAAAAAAAGAAGAGGCAGAAAGGGAAGGGAAGGTTTGCAAGAGAGGAGTTCAGACAGTCTGAAACGCTGAGTGGTGTTGCCATGCAAGCCTATCAATTTTTTTTATGAACCTGTTGAGACTGCACACCTGAAAAAGGGACACCTTCCTTTAGTGTTGCTGCTACAGTGATGGTCCAGAGTCACCAGCCATCTCACCTGCTGTGAGATGAAGCAGTTCCATAAGCCTGCACAAAGCCTCAGGTGCCATGCCATGGAAAAACATGAAGACAGAGAACTCCAGACACCATTAGGAGTTTCTTCCAGCACATGTAGGCAACCCCCCCCTCCAAACCTGCAAAGCTGCACGCAGCTCTGAGACTCCAATAATAGTTGCTTAGCAACTAATTGCTCAACCATCAGCAAGCTAGCTAGGGCCATCAAGAGACAACAGCCCTAGCCTGATGATTCAATCACTCTTCATCCAGGTGCCAGTCCCCAGCCTAAGTTGCTAGATCTCAATATTGACCACTCCTTAGTCCCCCCCCCTCTTCCTGCCAGCCAATAGTATGTTTTATGGGACGGACTAACAGGAGGTGTCACAGGGGGATGTGGCCAGTTCAACCTGCCCCCCCACATCACGTTATAAAATATGCTGACCGATCACATGGTCTCTCTCTCCCCCTCTCCACGACCCCTATCAAAGCTTTGACCCTCTTATGTCCAGCTTGCTATCCATATACCCAACCTCCATCTTTAAACTCTAGTCTGCAGCTAGAGTCCACATGGTTCTGCCGGTTCAGAGCACGTGTTCCCCATATTCTATTTCTAAACCCCTCCATTCTTCCATTGGAAC